ACCAATTACACCCCCAGTACTCTGCCGGGTGCTTTCCTTATACTGATAGTTAAATTTACATATTTAAACATCACAAGTAAAAAAAGGAAAAAAAGAACTGTATGTGTGCAAATTCTTGGATCCACTCACTCTTGCCGTCATTTTCAATCAGATAGTGAAGTCACTTTCTGAGGAGCTCTTGGTTTGAGGGAAATGCCAGGCTGTCTCTCTGGGCAGCAGTCTTGCATGTTAACAGGGCTGGAGGGAAAATCAGCAAAAGCTTCTCGGAGTTAATTGGCGCCCTTTGCAAGAAGTCTACAGATACACTGAAGTGCTAACTGCAGGCTTTTCTACCTGAGGCTCCAGCTGAGGAAATGAACTTTCAAGAACTCCCTGTTCTGAACCCTGGCACTGCTGGGCAATGAATCCAGACCCTTTAAGCCCAGTGGGGTCCATTTGTTCCTGAGCGGGGCTGTTAACCTTTGGACTCTCCCCTGCTACTGGGATTCATCTCATTTAATCCTCTGGTAGCCAAGCTCATGAATGGCAAATATTCTGTCTCACTGTTCCATTCTCCAGTTCCCTTGGTTGATATTCATTTTTTCCCAACTGCCTTCTGCATTTTGTAAGTCTGACCATCAGTTCCCATAAGATCCTAATCATTAAATCACTTAATTTTTGTCACCCTATAATTTCCCTTGCTAATTTTATCTACTTATTTTTAACATTTTATCATTTTTTATATAGCCAGATCTTTTTTTTTTTTTTTTGACATCTACATCTTTCAGTTTCAGGTGAGAGTGAAACTGTCATAAGAATTCCTGAGTAAAACAGTGTTAAACTGTACACACGTGTTAAACTGGTGCTTCTAACAGTGTTTTCTGAAGCTGGTTGAACAGAATTACCTGCAGACACTTAAAAATACTACTTTCTAAACCAAAAACCACTCTTGGAAGTTAGCATCAGTTTTTTTTTTTTTTTTTTTTTTTTTTTTTTTTTAAAGCTCCTCAGTGGCTCAGTATGGTTGAGAACTATTACCTTGTGGGAATACCAATGAACTGACCGAAGGTTTGGAAAGGACTGGAAGGACATCAGACAAAGACAAATGGGCTCCTTGAAGGGGAGCCCAGAGCAAGCCTAATACTGAGCTGGATAAAGTAGGTTACAAGTCTCAACACCCCTCCACCAATCCTGAGAAGGGGTGGAGGCTACAGATTGCCGTGAGGCTGACACAAATCACCTCAATGGCCCCCTGATAACCCCAATGAAAGTCTACATTAGCAGCAACTAAGTGCCCAGTAACATGATTAGAAGATGACTTAATTTTCTTGAAGAAACTCCATTCTGGAGATAAAAGTAGGATAGGCCAGTGAAGCCTGGCAATATGGGAGTGCATGTAACCAGTGGGAAAGCATTTGTGATTTACAAGAAAGAAGAGAACTCAGCCCTCCAATGAGATCAAACAATGATGTCCTGGGAGGGATTGAATTCAGGAAACCTGGAAAATTTTAAGACCAACAGTTTTATGCTATTAATAAGATCTAAAAGAACTTGGAATCCCTGAAACAAGAGCCAGAATGCAAGTGGTAAACAACAGAGATGAAAACTGAATATTGAAAGGTAGGCAAAAATCAAAGTGAGCTGTAGGAGATGAGGAACAAATGCAAATTATCTAAAAGACTGAAAAAAAGGAAAAATCTTCACAGAATGTTCAAAGAGCAGATCCAACAGTGCAAACATCAGAAAGAGAAACAAATTTGAAGCAATCACCCAGAATTCAGCCTCTAAGTAGTGTACAGATAACAATTAATTGACATTGAATATATGCCTATTTACTCAGTGCAGGTAATTTATTTATTTTTATCTTCGCAATGATTGCATAACATACAGATGGTTCTACCACTCATTTATATATGAGGAAACTACAATATAGAGTTTTATTTTTAAATTTTCCTGAGCTCATATAATCAGCAAGTGACATAACTGGTATTTGAACCTATATTGATTTGACTTTATCAGCTGTGTCCTGGAACTTTAAAATGTACAACTTTTTTGGAAAGTATCGCAATACTTTGTTGAAGTGATAACCATATATTAAATATTGTGTTATAAATGTTGATATCCAATAGCTAACACTGTAAGATGCATTCTGTATGTCAAACACTACTCTTTACTTCTGTAGAGTGCGTGGATTCACTTAATTCCCACAGTTATCCTAGGAAGTAGATATTTATATCATTCTCAGATTCAGAAGTCCGAAAGTATTAATTGCTTTGGCTAAGCTTATCTAGCTAACAAGTGATAGAGTTAGAGCATTTATCACTTATTTTTCTAAGGTAAAGGTAAATACTACTCTTCCATTTCATAGACTAAGACATTAAAGAATGATCCAGGAGGATAACTAACTTCCTCCAAACCCTCAGAGAGTGGGTGACAGAGATTTATATTAATAGCTCTTGACTTCAAAACCCCAAACTGAAAATGTTTTAAGAGCTTTTGAACCAACTGTTACATTTTGAGGAATTTTTCCTATTCTCATTGTTTAGAAATCTTTCAAAAATACATGCAAAGACTTTTAAAAAAGCATATGCATTTTAATAGCAAAAGAGAATTGGAAATGCAAAATGAGAAAACAAGGAAGACTGAAGGAAAACAAGGCTGGAAGAAAGGTTGTGGGAGGCATTGAAGGGTTCTGAGGAGAGGAAGGTTCTCATAACAGGTGTACTGGAAAAGAACAGTGAGAACAAGACTATACCAGTTACCCAGCAAGCACACTGCAGTGGCTTGGCTAGGGCAGAAGATAGAGGAATTTAACACAATATGGAAAATGGATCAATAAACAGGGATATGAGGTCTGAGGAGAATATTTCCAAGATTTATGAGCTGGGTAGCTGGAGGTATCTGTTGCAGGTTTCACTCACAATCTGAAAGTGGTCCTCCTTAGTATGATTTTGTTGGTTATTTTTGGGCCTAGGAAAGTTCAAAAGTTATTTCATAGGAATGAACGGTAACAGGCTTCTTAGAACCAAAATTTAACATACCCAATGGAATGTTGTACTTTGGCTATCAGGGGAATTGACACTGAGCCTAGAGAATGTAGGAGAAACAGGGATTCAGATTTTCACATTCTGCATAGAGAATGTGAAACATCTCCTGGAAATGTCAAATCTTCAAATCCTGTTGCTTACACACACACATTTGGAAGTCAGGGGAATGGGGAGTTACCTGATGCTCGGGCAATGATGAGGTTCCCTGGAGTAAGCCTGTGGTGGGGGTGGTGCGGAGAGAGGCCCCATGCCTAAGTGCTGAGGTTCTCAGAAATGCAGAATGAAGTTTCAGAAGGAGTGACAAGGACATAAGAGGAACAAGGAAGCAAGGACTGGGAACAAGGAAGCAAAGAGTCACAGAAGTGAAGAGATAGTTTAAAAATCATGACAAAACTATGGAGTAGAACGAAGAGGAGTAAGGAGTAGAAAGTACTCTTTCGTGTTGTAGACACTGAAGTTGCTGGTATCTTTAGGAAAGCTAGTGAACAAAATTCAGGTAAATTTAGCAGAGAAGTGTCACCCCAGCCACAGAGGTGTCTTACTGGAAACAACTGTGGAAAGTGCACACCTGGAAGGGTTTTAGAGAAGGAAGCATTGGGGGGTTGGCTTGGGTTGTTTAGTTTGGGGATCCACAGATTCTGAAGGCTCTAGGGAAGAGTCTGGCTGGGCAGTGGCTCTCAGACCGTGGCCCGCCAAGAAGGTGCTGCTGCAGCTGCTGGTGCTGGGCCGTGCTGAGAGCAGCACCGAGGGGGAGAGCTGGACAATGCAAGTGTGCAGCTGAGTTGGTGGTGGGGATTTTACAGGAATGACACCTGAGAAGAGGAAGCACACACCGCACAAAAATGAAGAATGATGTGAAATATGTCTAAATCAAGATGAGTAAGTTATAAAAAAAAATTGTGAGAGGAAGAGAAATGAGTGATACCCTCTCTGAAAAGGCAGGGGGAGCTGGGGAGAGGATTTTTGAAGATTTTTTTTTTTTTTTTTTTTTCTTGTGGCAAGATAAAGGGGAAGAAAAAAAGAAAAAAAAAGTAAAACAGAAAAAAATGTAATGATAGCAAACATCTATAAGCCACAAGCAATTTCCAGTTTCTAATGCTTTAACATATACTAACTCACTGAACCCTAAATTAGTCAGAAAAATACAACTAATGTATATATTGGCAGGTAAGAAAGTGACAGAAACCATGTATGATAGAATCTGTTTCTTTTCTACCCCCAAAGATGATCGATTCTATATGATTGTTGTAAATTTATAATCTATAAGCTGAGTAGGAGGGAACGGAGGTAAGCTATGTGATGAGTTGGGAAAACAGAACGTATTTAGTGAGGAGAATGGGGGTGCTTATTACAGGAATTCTGCGTGGTTGGCATCACCATGGAATGCCCTATGAACATGGGGGCTGGGATTTTTAGATACATTGTTCTTCTGGGTATTATTGTCTGCTCAGCAAGAATACACAGGCTGGAACAAGAGTTGTGAGTTTCATCAGGTTGTGTCTCTATCCAGCAGGTAAAACAGGGAAGAAGGAAGTGATGGATGAAGGAAACGCCTGGTCAGTGTTTCAACAATTTTATAAAAAATAACAGAGCTGTGAACTGGAGCTAGTCCCACAGGGTACCTTTCTGCTTGAAGTGGTAGGTAAGCTGGTCTTGGGTATATCCACAAGAGTCCTAAAGGGTGCCTGTGGAATATTCTAGGGGACAGCTCTGTGACCTCACACTTTTTGGAGAGAATATCAACCTTAAGGGAAGTGATCCACAAGAGCCACAAACATACTAGAATCATCCTGCTCATTACAGGGAGAAACAGGCTTCCGTGTCATTATGTCACTATTGGGGCTTTTTAATGAGGGAAAATATAGGATTGTTTGTTTTAATTGAAAAAAAAAAAATCCCTGAAGAACATTTTAATTTAAATTCAAAACTCAAAGGACATGAAGAAGGTCAACCGTCTTAAGGCCTCACCTTTACCTGTGTGGGTGCTGGTGTAGACAAATTCTGAGGCAGCAGCCCACACACAGAGTGGGCAGGGATGGTCCTGAATGTAAGCTGCCAGGACGTGCTCCTCAGCCACACCTCTGACTGCGGCAGGTTCATCCCAGGTCACCTCCATGCTGTATCCATTCAAGCTGCGGACTCTGGAGGGAGTTGGCACGCTTTGAGGAGCTGCAAAAGAATAAAAGAGAAAATAGAGAAAGTGGCAGTTCCGAGAGGACTATTGCCTCTATTCTTCACTTTTAATGGTCGCAGTAAATCAGACTCGACCATTAGCATAAATACAATTTATTAGAGTTGTAACTTTTCAGCATTGATTTAATATGACTGCACATCTTGAGCCGTTCAGTTTAAGCGATATTTCAAAACCATCAAAACTCCATTGACCTAACGAGCTTTCAAGTCTAGTCCAGGTTTTCCAAAAACATTTAATGTATCAGACATGTTTTAAACATCACTCATAAAGAAGGAGGTGGATGGTAGTCAGATAACAAGTTCAAACAATATAATGACAGACACCCTTGCAGCAAGATAATTAGGCTGTTACTATACGTAGTGCTTTGACACTTTTATATCTTTACTGTATTAGCCAAAAAATTTCACAAATGGGATTGTATTGTAATTGAATGTCTGAGTTCATTTTTCCAAATTCAACTGTTTTTCAAATTAATTTTAAGAAAGCACCGTTCTACTCCACAGGATGTACCGGGTACATTCTTGCAGATTGCGGAGTAGAGGTATTGGTGCCCTTGAGATTATACAAAATCATTTCCAGAGGATCATAGAACAGTAACACGCAACGAGGGAGCTTAGAGGAGCCACAGAACCTCGCCTACACTTGGCATGTCCTCATTGAAAAAGAACCCAGAACCGTTATTAGGTAGTTCTATGGTGGTTCTGATCAGCAACAGATTCATCACAGCTGCCTGTGCTGGCAACATGGAGAAAATGCCCAACAAATTCCATCGCAGAGGATGGGGGTCAGGGATGTGTTCTAACTTCCCCAGACCCCCGGGCCACGAGGCTGGAGGCTCACTCTTGGCGGTCTGACATCGGCATTCACCTCTTTAGCTTGACTGGTTAGGCCCATAAGGACAGCTTCCAGGGAGGCAAAGTGAACGTCTAGGCTGAGAGGAAGCACACAGGTGGAGAAGCCAGCAGTGGAAACACCACGGGCCCCTCTGGCAAACACCCAGCCCACACGGTCACGTGCTGGTACAGGGGCAACGGCAGCAAAGTTGATTTTATTCGTTCTGAACTGCAGTGCAGGGCAAAGTACAGTCCTGTCTAACAGATGGTCTTCTCATAAGGGACAGAGCAAAACTGACTGAAAAATAATTAAATAGTGCAATTATTCTCCAGCCCTTGGGAGCTTGTAGCTGCTCAGTGTTGTGGTCAGATTGTAAATATGGATTTATGGAGTAAGACTTTGTGGTCAGATCATCACTATCAATTCAGTTTTATTTGCATCCTTTCTTGGGGACACCAGTATGGGCACTATCCAGCTAGGTAAGCCAGCACCTTCTACACACCTATATATATTACTGAGCTAGACAGAAAACAAGCTCCTGAATGCATATTTGTTAATAAAGCTTAGGGGTGTGCAATGGGGGTAAAAGGCACGGTAGTCACAAATGAATATTTTCTATCAGCTTTCTCTAAGCTCTGAAGTTGAAATGGATTTGCAGAGATCTTTCAGCTCACTGACTTGCCTATAAGCAGATGATAATTTAAATTACCCAGGAAAAGTGTCAAGTTGTCCTCTTGTGGAAAATTTGTATGCAGAGAGCTTTGAAGACTCCTCTTCGCAGCCCATCTCCATTTCTAATTATCTTTTAGATTAAGAAGATTCCACAAAGGATGCCGTGGGTGAGTGACCCATTGTCAATAGAAGACAGTATCTTGATGAAAACCACAACTTTAGACCAATGGTGACTTGCTAGGGATAAACATTCTTTAATAGACATATGTAGCGATCATATGGAAGTGCATTTGCTTTACTGACAAATATTTGATCCAAATATTTGATCCAAAATGGTAGGAGCCAACTGATTCACAAACTTGTAATCAACACCTTTCCACCATAGTAGCATGGGAAAGGCTTCTGCACATACTCTGTTAAATGCAAAGTACTTATAAATCAGTCGTCTGAGATAAGATCTAATGCTTCTACTTGTTTCCCCTCCAATGCAATAAAATTAGACCAATCAGCAATTATTATCCTGGGAGAGTCATTCCAAGATCCTAAGAGTCAACACCGTAGCAAACATCTGCTACAATGTGATAAAAAGACACAGCTGCTTCAACCAGGTTTCAAATGCGCTTTCTGTCAGGAGATGGTTAGAGGGTGCCACCCCCCACAGAATTATCTTTTCTGGCCTCTGGGCACTCTGTAAAGACTCCTATTCTTAGTTCTGCAGACACAGGCCTACTAAATGCCTCAGACAACCTGAAATTATTTCCTTCCATATCTGAAGAAGAAAGAATCAGGCCAGATCAAATACTTGAAAAATCAAAAGCCCTGCTCTGCTAAGCCAAGCCCACTGACAGGTGCACTAAAGATGCAAGGCAAACTCTGGCAGAAGACCTCAAACACACAGACACAGGGCGCTCACCTTTCCCTTTCTTTACACGCATAAACACACATGTACAATTATGTGTGCACATTGACATGTTAAGAAGAACAGAATTTACTGGTTCCTGGTATGTGTCCTTGGATCCACTAGCTGCAGGTTGACCTTCCTTCATCACTATCACTAGATACAGGTGTTCTTATGGGAAGTAGTTGAAAGGTGAAAACATTAGTCATGTAGACCAGCGGAGGGCTGGTGGGAAACTGAGGTGATGAGTGGGAAACAGGGAGGATTCCATTTAGAGCCCCTCCCTCCGGTACCTGTAACATGCTGAAGCCCACTCTTGCAAGCACGCTCTTCTGTCCCCAGGTAAGCCAAGATGGAGTCATTTCCTCTGCAGTTAACTGTGCTGTCAGCTGATGGGCATCCATCCAGATTGACTCTGACAGCACTGCTGGACACAGATGCCAAGTGAACAGCAGCACCCTGAGCAAATTCCACATCTTTTCTGCAACCACTGAAACCTGCCAAATAACCCAGGGTTAGTATCATGTGAAAGGCTGGAGTCATGGATGACCCTTTGTTCTGTCCTGCTGCTATACGATGTTTTGATGAGGTGTGAGAGTACTTTAAATCCAACTTTTAAACGTTCAGGTCTTGTTTGAGAAATTGCTTATGCCCCCTTCCTGCTTCTCCTTAGGCAAGTTGCTACCAGGAAGTATTTATATTTTTATTTGGGACAAAAATAGATATGCTGATCATTATCTTTCAACTGATAGTGGTTATAGTCAACTGAGTAATTTTTTTAAGTTATTTATTTATGCATACAAGAGCTGCGGTGTAGGCCAGAGTGGAGGACAGTGAGAGGATTCACCAGAGACAGAGAGGGGAGCAGAATAGGCAGATCTACTGAAATCCACTTCTGTGGGGAGCAGGACAGGAGAGGTCTGCTGCGCCATGTGGATCAGCTCCCCAGGCTGGGGATTGAACTCATGCTGCAGTGGCTGGTGATAGCTTGATAGCACTGTCTTTAACACTTGTACCATCATTTGATTGATCTCATGAAATAAAATGAAAGCAGTTATGTGTTATGGTGTTGTTATGAAACTTAAGCTGCACTTGCGTCAGTGGGTAATGCTGAATTGGCCTGGTGAGTCAGTGGAAAAATCACAGTTGGAGGACCTGATGCTGGAGAGCAGGAAGGAGCAGACAGCTTCCAGATGAACTAATATGGCCAGGAATCATGCAATGTGCACCTATTTCAGGGAGCGTCATCATGCTGAAGATGCAAAATGGCTTGATGTTCCTGAGAGCATGACAAGGACCAAATTTGGACCATGGACCCAAAGGTGTCACAGAATGTGTGTTCTACACATCTGGCTTTAGCACGACCTGCAGGCAGCACAGCTCAGCAAAATTTAGCAGTGAAGGCAGGAGAGGTACATTTAGGGGAATGCAATGCTATCTTTTGTTGGAAACCCACAGAACACCCAGCCATCTGGGAGGAAGCAGGGCTTGAATTTCTGCTCTTTTGTGCAGAGATCTGCTCAGGAAGCTTGGGGCACTCTGTCCAGAAAACAGTTGTAAACAAAGGGACAAACGGACTTTTGGGGATTGCTGCAGCACACTAGACTGAGCAACTTTGAAAGGCCCCCAAATACCCACATAGCTCTTTTCAAGATTATAGAGCCTCGGCAGCAAATGGAAATAAAACATAATGCAATGCTTACCAGTAACATACGTTAATAGTAACAATGACCATACAGTTCTGCTCAGCATTTATATGATGTCTTACGATATCTCTGAACACATTAAGTTGCAGCCTATTTCCTTTTAAATGTCTTTGCTATCATTCACATTCCTTTAGGCCCGACTGATCAATACTGCTAGTGTATCTTGAACACTCAGTAGACAATAAGTCGGGTGAATTGAATTGAAAGCAATGAAGCTCAATATAAAAGCATCTGCCTGAACATTCAGAAACTAAGAATTCTAATTTCTTTACCAGCAGTAATTTTCTTTTGGCACATGGCCGAGTTCACTAACTTCTCTATACCCCAGCCTCCCCACCAATAATAGCGGGAAGGCAGTGTTGGCAAACATCTCAGTCTGGTATAAGAAATGCCTGATAATTTACAGGGTACAGGGCTTCATTTCTGCCAGATGAAGAATTCTGGAGATGAACAGGGGCGACTGGGGGCATCAGAATGCATATGTACTTCTTGCCACCAAATCCCACACTTATAAATGATTAAGATGGTAAGTTTACATCCATTTTCAATCCAGCTTTAAAAAAGTGAAAGTATGTAAAAATAAATATCTTTAAAATTACTTAACATGACAAAATTTTAAGCTAGGGAAAAGCCAAAGAGATGGTTATAAGGTTCATGCGTGATAGTCCTTCTAGAGAAGGCCTACTCTGACCCCAAGTCTCAACCCTTGAGGCCCAGTAGGGCTCTCATTGGGCTTTCCTGAGAACAGTCAGGGAGTTCCTTCCCGTACAGTGTGCATATTCCTCAAGCAACAGCCCACTGGAGTACTCTTGCTGGGAAACCCCCTCAATTCCTTCTAAAATTTGAGAGAAGAGGGGACAGGGTATGTTTGTGGACACTCCTTCTTTTCTTAGTGTTTCATGAGACTCAAAAAGCATTCCTTATTTATCCCTGCCCAGGTCTCCAAACAACTGGAAGATGTTCCAAAGTTCTGAGGTGACAAGAAAAGAAGTCGCCTTCTCGGGGATGCATTTTCACCCTGACAAGTGCTCAGGAAGGCTCGCTTTCCTCTCCGTCTCCCTCCCTGTCCACAGGGACCTTGGGCAGAGCTCCCCTGTGATACCACACAGCCACTCCCCACCCAGAGGTAGGTGGATGTTCCCAGGAGCAGTTCTCGGATAAATGCCCATCATCTGTACTGGTTCATCTTCAGTAAATTACGTTGCCCAGGGTTTCCAAAACAAAGAGGAAAACTCATTTGCATTTGATTTCAAGGAAGATTACATTCATGGGTAAGGAGAAAATGCACTAACATGATCACAAAATAGTGCCTCTGAAAAAAAGTTGCTAATTGAGAAGCACAGAAAAGGAAGAAGATTTTTAAGACTGTTGATAGTAGATTGAAAAACATACAATGAGGAAATGCGATTCCTTCTCAACCCTCGCAATTTACACATGCACACATCCCTCTGTGCTGGGTGCTCTCCTTGGTTGCTGTCTAACACATACAGTGACACAGAGCAGCAGAATCTTAGAAGACAGAGTCGTAAATCTACATTTTCAATAACCTTTCCAGGTGACTCTGATGTCTGCTGAACAACAATAAAAAGAATGAATTTTATGAAATACTTACTCTGTTGCAGCTACTACACTTCAATGTTTTAGCAATGGTTTGAGAACCACTGATATGGATATTACTGCAATGATAAAAACTTAGCATTACGTACAAAAAATATCTTTCAGTATCATTGCCTTAGTCACAGGGTAGATTAAATTATCCCCTTGGGTCTATGTTGATATTTTAAACTTCTATCCTTATCATCTCAAAATTCCAGAGTTAGCTCAGGACCTTCACAGGAATGGGTTTCAGTGTACTTTGAAAGTATAATATTTGCAATGCAGAACATTTTCCTAGATGTAAACAGGATCAAGTAATCTTGCTCAGATAACAGTTTTCAAGCTGTTTCCAACTCAGAAACCTGAAAACCAGGAGAAGCCCTTATATGAATGTAATATTTTTAGCTGCTGATACACCTTAAGTGCCTTGAAAATGTCATTACTGTCTTACACCCCAGATATTCATTAACTCCTTACTAGTACCCTTCTAAAAGTCTCCTTACAGCTTGCTATATATTTTCTATTCAAAGGCATTTAAATCTTTATGTACTTACCAAATAGGCAAAGGCTGCTTCACGGAAATGTTAACCATTCACAGCGCAAGCTTTTGAAATACACAGAGAATGTTCTCTATATGAGAGCAGCTGGAAGTTTCTGTGCTCTCATGTTACAGAACAGAATTGCTGATCAAAGCCCATAAAAGGGAGCACTGGCTGCAGAAAGGAAGGAGAGTGGACTTTGATAGACAGGATTGCTATTGGCTCAAGCCCTGTAACTTTGGGGTTCACTGTCCCCTCTGCTCTTCAGTTATCTCATCCGGAAAACAGGGACATGAATAATGAATCCTAACTCATCGGTTTGTTACAAGAACCAACTGTTTTCATGTTGAACTCTGAGAAGGACGCCCTTAGTTACTGGGCCCTTTTTTCTTTTTTTTTTAAGATTTCTTTATTTATACATATAAGAACTGGGGTACAGGTGAGAGATGCAGTGAACGAGAGGATTCCCCAGAGTGGGGAGAAGAGCAAGCACGTCATCTGAAATACACTGCTGAGGGAAGCAGTCAGGAGAGATCTGCTATGACCTCCCTGGGTACAGATTGAAACAGTGCTGCAGTGGCTTCAAATAGCTTCACAGTGCTGTGCTTTAAACTGCTGTGCCACCAGGGAGGGCCCTATTTGGGCCTTTTTAAATTAATAATTTCTCTGATTACGTTTGCACTTATATAAGTTAAATGTTTGGTTTAGTTACTTTCCCCTTCCTTGATGGCTATTAATAATCAATAATAAATAGATTTTTTCACAAGTGTGTTTGAAACTCAACTAAGCCCATCCTTTCATGTAGTTGGCCAAATGAAAACTATTGAGATACAGGAAGACACTTTGTATTTACATCAGAAAAAAAACATGAATTCAATGCCATTGTTCCTAGCTGTACACACCTATTTTATTTTTTAATCCATAAATCCATACAGATATTGAGCAGTGTTCAAAAGAACTGAACCACCTGTGCTTTTAAGGGAAACATGAGAAAGCTTGTATTTTACCACCTATTACATATAACTTTATTTGCTGAAGACATTTTGGAATAAACATATTGATTGTAAAGAGATATGACAGCACTCTTTAGAGGAACACACAAAAACACTGGCAGGACTGTTCTGTGAATCTTTTTAGAATTTAAAATTCTCCCATCAAAGGGTAAGTGGTGTTGCTTTCAGCCTGATTCTACTGTTAAATCTTGAAACACTGAACCACCCAAGCCCTGAGCCACCAGGGCGGCATCAACCTGGGGATTCTTCCCCAGGTTCTTACCTTTTTCCAAACTCAGGAGTCTACAGGCATCCAGCAGCGGGCCTCCACCCAGGTAGACCAGGAAGCTCATGGTCAGTGGTTGTGTCTGGGGCTGGGGCTGGGATGCGCCCTCCATCAGGTTATTCATGCCTGCAGACATGACAGAGCCTCCCTTCTGGATGATGACTGTGTTCCACTCTCCATCACAACAGCATGGCCCCAGCCATACAGCCCCTCTGGTGAAGGAAAGACTGGTGCTCAGCCAGAAGCTCAGCCTTCCACTCTTTGGCTCTATCTGTATTTCATATTAGAAAATAAAAACAGGTATATAAGTGGAGATTCAGGGAACCTTGTGAAAAACACACACAAAAAAATATTTTCTTTATTCCAAGCAGAATTAGAATTAATCTGTTATGAAGTACATTGCAAGCTTATCATTGACATGAAGACTGTTGTTTCGAGTTACATTCATATCCAATAATGATTACACAGTGTCACACAATATTACATGGGTGAACCTGTTGTTTGGGGTGTAACACGATGAAAAGATTTAATTCCAGCATGTCTGACTGAATGACTGCTGAGAACAGAGCAATTTGAACTACAACTCTGTTTTTATTTGGGTTTTTAGAAAATGAGAAAATACTACTTCATATATCAATTTAATTTGGGGGGTAAATATGACAAGACAATAAGAAAATGAAATGTCAAGCCTGGTTAAGCTTATCTTAACTGGTGGGTGAACTCAATTTCAAATTTGGGAGATTTATTTTGATTCAATATTTCAGTTGTATTATTCTAAATGACTAACTAACGTAATTTCTTCTATGTTTATTCTTTTTGATTAAGGTACCATTTTCTCATGCAAGCATATTTTACCCAAATTCTGATGTAAAGGAAATGCCTCCATATATTTTCCTTCAAAATGTCACATAATTATTTTACCCTCTATGCTTTTATTTTGTTATAAGTCAAGTCCACGGATATAGGATACTTGAAAATTTGAGATGAATTGCATCAAATGGAACAAGTTAAGTGACACCAGATAAAAAAGGCTGGCTTTTTCTAGATAAATGTCATCTTTAGGAAGTGTATCAGGTGAAAAGTCACTCACTTCTGTGTGCATTTATTCTTTAGATACGGAGTTCCCTACAGTGGCCCACAACCTTGCTGCCTATGATAAACTCTTCCCAAGGATCACAGTGCTTTCCAGCTCACTAGTTCAGTGAAAGGTGTCAAGTCAGAGAAGGCAGAAAGCACATATTGACGTAGGGGTGAGTCAGGAAGAGTCCAGCCAGGTATGTGCACACAAAATTTGGAGGGATTTGAATGATACGGAAAATATTTCAACTTCTTTTTGTCTGACACAAAGCCAATAATCTTTCTGTGATTATCTTCTGCTATTCACCCTTACCACCTAACAAATACATACAGGAAATAAAAGCTGAACTGGATTGGAGAAACCTATTAGGGAAACAGTACAATTCTGGGAGGGCCATCAAAATAAGAACAACTCCAATGACAGTGAAAATCCAATCTACGAGGTATTTTTAAAAGTAACTCAGCAGGACATGACATGGCAAACATTGAAAGTGTTAGATGGGTGAAAATGAAATTGAGGACACCCACCCTCTCTTCCTGTCTCCCCACTGTCTCCCCACTATCACACTGTGGTGATATTTTAAGACTGGGTATATGCACTTTGCAGGGAAATGAAAACAAAAGTGAATTTAGAAAGAACCCCGCCATTTAACATTAACAGCTGCTTTATTTATACGTGATTTTAATTAACATACAGCAAGAACATCAGGTCCGTCTTTGTTGTAGACAAAAAGAAGCCATCCATTTAATCGGTCAGTTCTGAAATTGAAAGAAATCTCAAAGTTCATTCCTTCATGAAACAAGTTTGGAAGAAGTTCCAATAACCCTGGAAATGAAAATATTGTGCAAATTATCATGTGCAAAACAGCATTTTCAGCAGTGCTGTATGTTTCTAGGACATACTATAGAGTAAATCAATCACAAAATAAGATGCAAAGCAATGTTAGGAAGAAACCCCTTTGTAACTGTATCAAAGTGGTAGAATGAATTTAATGTGATTTTTAAAGAGGAAGTAATTTACTAAATAAGAGTAATTTCTAAATAAGAGCATATGATAAAGACTAATATTGTCTTATTTAAGAACTAATAATAGAGTTGCATTGACTATGATAAGTTCTGAATAATGACAAAGATGAGAAAAGAAAAAAAAAAACACTGGACAAACCTATATTATTAGTTAGCTTTTTGTTCTGAAGGTAATTTAAGCAAGTTAATAACTAACCAACTTCTGTAAATGTAGGAAAAGCCTGTCTAGCAATGCACCATATTCCCTTCTCCCTCCCAGACTGCCGTACAGAGCTGTGGGTGGAGGGACAAGGGACCAGTGCCCCCTCCTCATCTGTGCTGCAGCCTTTGTTGAACTGCAGCCATGGTGGCTCATGGTTCCCGGCACTAAGGAAGACCTTCATGACCTATCCCATGCCACAGCTGCACTATTACTCTTAGGAATATAGTTCACTCTCATGATGGGGTAAGTTATTTGCAGGTTATTCTAGGAAACAAAACTCCTATGAAATATCTTCTGAGTAAAAGTGTATACTGATTTCTAACAATGGATTTACAAATGTCCATGGGTGACACTAAGCTATGTGAGTTGAAAACTGCCTTGGAACACTGGCAAGTTCCATTATGCACAAAGAGATTTATGAGTCTTATCGCTTATATTACATATGCACAGACTCTGAGAATGTATTTAAGTGCATCATGGCATAACTATGTATTTCTTTGATAATAGGTTCATAGGAGGTCAAAATAATAAGATGGGGAGATAAAATTACACCACAGCCAGAACACACATGCTAAACTATCATCGATGTCTAGTCTATTTAGATCCTTACCTGTTCCCAGGACCTGGGCTCCCTCGTGTAATGAAGAGGGACATCCCTCCCAGTTGTTAGACACATTGATTTGCTCTTCAGAATTCTGCCAAATCAGAGGTTCACATACTCCAGTGGGATTGTAATTCTTCACAAAGGACACATCCTGGAGACAGCCCACAAAAGCCTTTTGGGGTATTTCTGCAGTAGTTGATAGATATCAAGAAAAATGTGTTTTGAAAAACTTCTTTTCCAGCAATTAATTTTATGTGCTATTAAAATCGGAGACACAGGCAATAGCTCTTGTCACCTATTTACTGCCAACCTGGCAACAGTTCATGTAAACATCATACCATTGGCCATGGTTAAGTGCTTCATCCTTGTTCAGATCTAGCAGATCTGCAGAAACAATTATGCAAAATTCTGGGTTTTATAGGATGAGCAAAAATATTGTCTGTTGAACCAACAACAAAATTTTACTGCCACTTGTTGAAATGAAGAATGCTTTTACAAAGTAAAGTGTGAAGGAAGTTTATAATTTATAGTTTAGTTGCCCTGACATTATGAATCAATTATTTTGATTTTATTTTTAGGAATTAATGTCACATTAAGCTTAAATTTGGCACGACAAATCAGGTTGATAGGGGTTTGTGGGCCCAGCATATCGGTTGATAATGAGTAAATGAGAGCATTGGAGCGAGATCAAAAAAGGGGGGAGGGAGAGAAGCATGTGAACTGCATTTCATATGGCAACGCACTTACTCATCAGTACAAAGCTTTGTTCTCAGATTCTGAGTTTATGATGATTCTAGGGAAGTCATTTACTCAGCAGTCATTTTTTACATGGTCAAAGTACTTGCTACTACTAGTCATACGTTCTTCATAGCATCAGGGTCTTCTTTCATCCAGCTGCCTGATACCCTGGGTAGCTTAGTCATGAAGGGTGCTGCTGAATGGGCCAAAACCTGAAACACGTTTTGCTCCTATCCCCTTCTCCTCCCCCACAGAATGTCTCTGGTTTATTGCTGTTAGTTGATTTTCATTTTTACTTTATTACAATTGCTTCAAATAATTTTTTTTCCTGATCCCTTACACTTCCTGTTATGAGTGAAACCATCTAGTATTTTTCCTTTTTCTTTCTGGCTTATAGGAACAGAACTGGGGTGGGAAGAGCACACGGGACTATGGTGATGGCACATGCGTGAAGTGATGGTGGGAGACTCACAGGGATTACAACCAAGATGAAAAATGTACAAAGTGAAGAAAGATGTAAATAAATATAACAGGGTCTCCCTATGGCCTAGGTGTTAAGTCTCAAGCTATCATCGCTATGGCCAGAGCTTGACGCCACCCAGGGAGCTGACTCACACAATGTTCAGCAGACCTCTCCTGACCTGCCCACTGCTCCCCTCAGTAGTATGTTTCAGTCAATCTGCCTGTTTTGCCCCCACTCTGTCTCTGTTGAGTCCTCTCACAATAAACTCCTCCCTGCTGACCATGTCTGCATCTTTGGCCTATAATCCAGTTCTTCTGTGAGAAAAAAAAAAAAAATATATATATATATATATATATTATATCTAGTGAAAATATTCTTCAAGAATAAAGATGAAATAAACACGTAAGAAAACCTGTAACAAAGGTGTTCTCTCTCTCTTCCACTCTCTTCCCCCCTCCTTTGACTTTCTACCTTTTCGAGCAGATTCACTACCAGAATATATATATAATATATATAATCAAACCCTTCTCCAAAGTTCACTGGAAACTTTATTATATATATATATATATATATTCTTCCTTTGGTTTATGTACTTGTTGATTTTTTTTCCAAAATAAAGGATTTCTTCCCTCAGATGTGTGGTCACCACAGTTCTGCGATCACCAAATCACCCATAATCTGCTACCACAGTCTGCTGTGCTTGTCACCTTTTTTTTTCTCCCTCCTCCCCATCCTCAAGTTTATTCATTTTGATCTTCTTCACAATTTCCTGAGAGTGCCACTCATAAATACTAGACAGCTCTCTGGGGCTTTGCGCATGTGTAATATTCACATGGCTACATTTTATTTTTCTTCTTAAAGACTAATTTATTTATGCATACAGAACTGGGGTACAGGCCAGAGGTGCTGGGGGTGAGAGGATTCACCAGAGACATAATGGGAAGCAGAACAGGTGGGTTGACTGAAATACTCTGCGTAGGGGAGCAGCAGAGGGTAAAGAGAGGTCTGCTGTACCATATGGGTCATGTCCCTGGCCAGGATTGAACTCCTACTGCAGTGTCTGCGGATAGCTTCATAGTGCTGAGATGTAACCACTTGTGCCACCAGGGAGGGCCCAACACAAGGCTGCATTTTAACCTCCTGGGATACACTTGGAAGACATCCTAGCACTTTGAGGCAGTTTTGGGAGCCAACTCTAGAAGCAGGGGTCACGTGCTGGAAGGGTTTCTTTTGCTCATACTCAGTTTTTATTGATTATATTTTAGAATGAGATTTTGTTCAACTGTCCTAAAAATTCAGGGATGTGTGTGTATATCTCAATTTTAGCACCAATGGCATGAGATTTGGAATGCCTGTTCATCTATTTGTTTAGCAAAGGCCACGTGCTCTCTATCTCTATCTAGTAGGGGCTGGTTTAGTGACTCTGTTGCAGTCCAGTACTCAGATATACTTTACCCTATTTAGAGAAAATTGAGCTCATCATTTTCTATTTCTGCATTGTTTTATATTCAGCTTCAAATCTTAGAAGCACTGACACCTTATCCTAAAATAGAGAATTTTGGCTGAAATTAGGATAATTCATTTCAGCCAAAGCTTAATGAACTCTTTTTATAGATCAAGAATGGGCCCTAAGAAATAAAATGCAAGAAATGCATGGTTCCTTGAGCAAAGAAGAGAATGTTGACATAGGAAATGCAGCATGAGATTAAAAAAAATATATATTACAGTTCATACTTTAAAAAATATAAATTATTTCTATCTTAAAATTTGGTGGCAACACATCTATTCTATACATCCACAAACTCACCAGGCTCCTTCCTGAGAACAGCATACCCCTGGTGCTCAGACACCCCTGAGCTCTCTCCAGGTACTAGGCTCCCATTCAGGGCAAGCAAGGAACCTACAGAGAAAGAGGGGAGACTTTTCACTCCAGCAGGATACATTATTTCTACCAACTTGAGAAATTAGCAAGCCTTACACTGGACTTTTAGGATAGCACCCTCTCTTGGTTCTCTTACTTCTATATCTATTCCCAGTCACTTCATTATTTCTTCCTCATCACTCCAATATTGTGATATCAGATAACCCAGATTTTCTTCCTTCTATCATCTTTTCATATTTTCACCACCCCAGAACAGAGGACAGAGGACAAACTACCAGGGCCCAGAACTCTCATCTTGGAGAGAGTTTCTCCCATCCAAGTACTAACCAGGCCTGACCCTGCTTTGCTTCCGAGATCAGGTGTGGTCAGGATTGTACATAGACATTGGGGAGGGGAGTTTCTAAAGGGAGCCCTTTCTAAAGGGGTTTGGATACCTGAAAGTACCATCAATGATGTAGGCATTCTGAGAGGATGGGGAGTATTTTGTTTCAGAATCCATATCACTATCATCAGTCTTGTTGTATCTGGTCTCTTGGCTATAAATATTGTCCATAGTTGACAATTACCAATTTGTATTTCAGTCTATGACTTTTCCCTGAGCTCAGACTAGTGTGAGTTTGCTTGTAGGACTCACAGAGATTAGCACTTAACATGTTCCAACTGAACTCTGAACCCTTCTTTCCAAATCTGCTTCTCACGCTCACTTGTCCCCCTTTTTCATGGAAGCTACTTTCTTCCAGTTGCCAAGGTCCCAGAGCTTGTACTCATGTTCTGTGTCCAGGGCTAGCAAACTCTTTCTGTAGAGGGCCAGCTGGTATGTATTTTAGGCTTCACAGACTATGCAGTCTCAAGCAGCTATGACAAGACAGAATGAGTGGGTACTGTGTGTTCAAATAAAAGTTTATAAAAACAGGCAAGAGTAGGTTTCAACCTGCCTAACACTGTTCTACCTCAATCACACTTTTAACTCAACCTTCACCATATATCCTGATTTTTCAATACACCCACAACTCCTTCCCTGGCTTAAACAACCTTTGTGTCCTGCCAAAATTATTGTACATTTATTATAGAGGTTTATAAGTTGTTCTCCCTGTTTCTACCTTTGTTGCCTTAAAATATAGTCTCACAAGAGCAGTCAGTATTTCTTAAAGAAAGAAATTATATCATGCCTCTCTCAAAACTCTGCCAACCGATACTCTTTTCCCAAATGAAAGCCCCCATAGTCCTATATAATAGACCCTAGTAGTCTCTTGGATGCTGCTGCCTGCATTGAACTGCCCACCCCTCTTTCCCACATTGCCTTCCTCGTTGGCCCTGAACATGGTACCTGCAGTATCCTCGCCTTCAGGGCTCTGGCACCTGCTCTCCCTTGGCTTGAAACCTTCCCCTGATGTTTGCAGGGTTCATCCTGGCACTCCCTTTTGGTGTCTGCTCAAATGTTACCTGTCAGAGAGGACTTCCTAAACTGCCTTTCATAAAATCAAGTGGCCTTTTCCCAATAAACACACACACACATACACAGACACACACACCTTTTTCTCATTATGTTTTGTTCTCAGATGTCATTCATACCAGATACTTGTACAGTATTTATTGTCTTCTCCTCCTTCCCCACTTACAATGTAAACTTTGCTCTTTGTACCTAGCATTCCAAGAGCAATATTCAGCATATAATAGTGCTCGTTAAATATCCACATTTTCTGAGAGCATTAACAAGTGTGCAGTAGCAGACAAGTACTATAACTGTACTAAAATTAATTGAGAGTGGTAGATAGGGCAGGGTAGAAAAAAATACTGAACTTAAAAGTGCAAACACAGATTTCACACCTCAAGAATTCTGTCTACACACTATGAAAGTGGGGAGGAATTATTTTCCTTTTCTGTGCCTCAATTTCCTCATCTTTAATATCTTTTATTTGTCTTTTAAAGGTTAAAAGAAACTTAAGAGCACTTGCAAATTATAGAGAACTGAAAAAGATAGAAACGTGCTACTGGTGACTTTGTTCTTACTTAGCTCTATACCTGAAACCCTGCACAAATGAGAAAATGCTTGCTAGATATCATCATTTTACAAGCTCCCCAAATGCAAATATAACAGCAGTTTAGATGAAATTGAATGGAGATAAAAAAATACATATAAACCACAGAAAAGCAATGTAACATTTGCTCATCAACAGAGCTGTTTCTAGAAAGTTCTTACCTGTATACTGACCATCAAGAGTGATTTGGCCAAAAGCTTGATGCCTACTAGCAATTATTTCATGCCATTTGCCATCATCACATTGTTGACCATCATCATTGGTTGTGGTAACTTCTACTGAAGATCCCTTAAAGAATGAAGCAATGGCTGAATGTATGTGTTTAAAAACACAAACACTTAACCCAACTTACAAATTTCAACATGATTCTATTGTAAGCATGCACACATTTCAGATGGAACTCAACATTAAAGTTAATGTCAAATATCAGTCTGGCTTTCCTGTCATGTATTTTTGTGAACACCATAGTGCTCAAACCTAAAAAGAACCACTCTGTGAAATAAGACAATTGAAAAGGATACTTGCATCTTAAGTACCTATATTTATCAGAAAGGTAATGAGTTTTTATTCTATAATTTCTGACTTATAGAAGAAACTAATAACATAATCAAAAATGGCAGGCAAATTAATTTCTGTTATCTAATATATTTCTTACAAGGAATAAGTTTTACATTAAAATTTAGCCAGTTACTAATACATTGAACATAATGGGTTAAACGTTCAATGTTGTTCAATGTTTTGTAGTCATTTATAGATTTCCCGAAGACAATGTTGGTCCTGACAGTCAATTGTTATTTCTATATACATGAAGAAATGGTAGGCTTGTAACCACAGGGCAAAATTACCTCTACCTGTTTTAAAGGAAAAAAAAAAACAATCATTCATAATTGGAAAAGTTGTATTTCAGGGCACAGACCCAGACGAATGCTCTCTTTCCTCAACATGGTATATTATTGCTTCAACCAAAAATAATTCTGGGAGATGAAACTGAGAAACCTGACTCATGGTTTGATGGACGGCATTCAGAAGCAAGGAGCGTTCAGTCTGTTACAGTTCTGGATCCAAATTCAATTTACACCCACCATAATTTAGCAACTGACTCTCCCAACTTGCATTTTCTGTATTTGTTCTTCAGTTCCCTAGACACGGCCGGAAGTCCCAGCCTCAGGAAGACTGATTTGAGAAAGTTGCTTCCACTCTCCTGCCAGGTGATCTCAAATTAAAGTAGCTCTTTCTTCCAGATTTAGTGGCACTGCTTGGGGTTTCTGCACCACAAAGCAGTGGGCCCACATACAGCAACAGAAACATCATGAAAAATGAGCTTCCAAATGGTTAAGACTGGAAAGTGTCAGACATCAAGAAGACAGACCAGCAAGAAGGAGCGAAGGTAAGGACACAGAAAAGTAGAAGAGAAAACTTCCAACTTAATATTTTACAACCAAGTGAACACCAGTACATGAGATTAATAGTATAATAACTCTCTTATTCTTATTCTCAAATAAGAATAAGTAAAAGGTATTTCGACTTTGTAACTATCATCGCTGACTACAATTACTATTAAGTCAGACAGAGAAACTTTATCATGCATCTGTTGCATATAAAGAAACAAATCATCAAATGGACTAAATAAAAATAAATTAAACACTTAAAATTTAAGATCAAATTACTGGGTACCAGAAGAGAAGTTGTGGATGGTAGTGAATAAATAAGGTAGAGAAAGAGTTACATTTTTAGTGGTGAACTTAATGCACTACGTACAGATGTTAATTTAAAAAAATGTATTCACAAAATCTATGTTAGAATGCAATATTACCTCAAGAAAAAATGTATTTTAAAAAGAAAACTGTATTTTAAAATGTTTTCCTGCATACAAACAAGAAAAGAAAAATATCAGATTACTCCCAATTTTCTAAATGAAAATAAATTCCTTTCTTAATAAAGGAATAATAATCCTTAACCATAATCAACTTAATAATCAATTTAAAGACCAAAATTATGTTGGGTAAAACATTTTTTACAATTAGTTGGAAGTTTCATCAAATTCTAATTAAATTTTACATATAGTTTTTAAAGAGAAAACTGGTAAATACCTGAAGTAATGTAGTTAAACACTTATGTCAAAAGACGTACAATATTAATCATACCATCTTGAGTAAAACATTTCTGTTTATAGTTCCCTAAAGTAGCAGTACCATAACATGCCCATTGTACACATTTAATTGACTCTTGTCAACCCTCATACAGAGCATGACAGCAACTATGACATACAGAATTCTCTGCTACAAAAAAACAGCTTTAATTTCCCAAGAGTGTAAGTGGGTTCTTCTCATGTGGACACTATCCCAACTTTTGCAGATGACTCCATCAGCTAGGAAGAGAGCCATTTGGTAGAGCTACTTGCTAGTCCTTTTATTTTTGTAGTTTGATTTTCCTTGTATCTTCATCTATATACTCTTTCATTTTCTTCAACCGTATTTCAACATTTTAATATTTTACAAACACACATTTCATTATCGTAGTTTAATAATTAAAACCAGAACTGGTGTCGTGCCCAATTAATGTGCCCTGGTAGCATGCCCATTAGTTTTTCCATTAGTGAATTCAACAATACTAATGGGATTACTAGCATGGGATGCTAATTGGGCGTGACATAAGAAACTGGCTTACTTCTTAGCATACCCTTGCTAATGATGAAATTAATGAGCATTTTATTAAATGCTGTCTCATCAAAGTGTACTTAGTTAGCGTTAAAATTGTTACAAACGATGCTGCATTCTAAAGATCAGGTGTCTGAGTAAGTGGTCCTTCATATTATGTTTGGCAACAATCTGAAACATTAATAGTTCTCTACATCAAAAACTACACTCATCAGAGACAAATTCAAGTAAAACATAGTATGTCATACTAGCCCTAGACTTAAGAAACTCAAAAACTATTCTGTGATGTTTATATTAAGATTATTTTCTTTCACTGGCATTAAGAAATTGATTCTGTGACTGACCCTGGTATCATATAAAGCAGTTTATTCTTTTCACTTGGAGAATATTAGGCATGTTTAATAGATGCTATTCAGGATTGTCTGTAAGTTTTTCCTTTCAGAGTTTCATTTTATATCAAATTAAAATCTCACATAAATTTCCTGTTTTGTCACTGGATATAAAACATTTAATGATAAACACAAGTCACTTTGGGTAAAAAAAATCATATGTTCAAGTATATTCTAATTAAAATTAACCAAAAAAAACAGTAAAAAAGTACAACAATTAAAACTAGAATAACTTTCTTTTCTGTGCCTCTTAATTTCACGTCCAGTCCAAATTATACAAACACATTTCCAATACTCAATATTATAAAGAATCTTTCCCCCTTTCTTTAAATATTTATTCATAGACTATGTAAGATTACATTCTCAGGAACATATGACTTAAATTTATTAATATATATTTTTAAAGTTCACAATAACTCTGTTACCTTAAAATCATGTGCAACACAATAGCTTTAAATCTGCACAAAATACTCTTGTCACAACTCAAAGTTAAAGTATTTTAAATGGACTAAGAAATATTTTTATAATAATCATTGATAAATGCCAAAACATCTAAAAAGCAGAGAAAAAAATCCCAACTGACTTGTTCACCATCATTAAAGAGCTGGACATTTTATTCTAGAAAATGAACAATTTTCTTCTATTACAGTATGAGCACTATTTTATCAATAGGGTTTGGGATGTGAGCCAGTCTATCTGGCATTTATTTATGTATTTATTGAGCATGTATTACCTTCCAAGGACTGTGTTAACTTGAGGATATATTTGTGGACAAAACAAACTGGCTTTCCCCTCAATGGAGCAATACAGTCTGATAAGAAGGTCAGTGAATACAGTAGGTGACTGTTAGGTAATCTCATCACATTTAAAGACTAAAGGAGGGTGACCTGGCTGAAGGGGGTGCTTACTCTTTTGAATGTCCATGAGAGGCATATATACAAATTTCAGAACTGCTTTCAATCCAGGGTGGCTCTAACTTTTACAAGAACTAATATTCATATTCCTACCCAAAAGTAAAGTAAACAATAGAATATTCCTCATACGTGTGAGCACACACTTACTAAATATGAAAAAAGCTGTAAGGGACACCCTATGGCTGGTATTCTATTACACACGTGGCCCTGGGGTATGGAAGGTCATCTAGATTCATGGCCATAGACCAGGGGATGAACACGGACAATGGCATGACTGAAACCAGAGCCCAGAGCTACAATCCTCCTTGAAATCAGCTCCACACTCTTTCTATCTATGGCTTAGCTGTGAACCAGGATTCGCTTGTTTTCCTGCCTGAAGAGTTAAATTAGATAACATATGACCCCTTTGTTAAAATAACAGGGCCAGCCCTCCCTGGTGGCGCAGTGGGTTAAAGCACTGCACTGAGAAACTAAAGCCACTTCCGCATGAGTTCGATCCCCGCCTGCCCCAGAGGTGACCCAATGGCGCGGCAGACCTCTCCTGACCCGCCCGCTGCTTCCCTCAGCAGTGTACTTCGTGGATCTGCCTGTTCTGCTCCCCGCTCTGTCTCTGGTGAATCCTCTCACCCTCCGCATCTCTGGCCTGTACCCCAGTTCTGTATGAATAAATAAATAAATCTTTAAAAAAAAATAACAGGGTCAACTTACTTATCCCAAGTAATTCTATTTTTCTAAATAAGCCCAGGAACCCCAAAGCAGTGCTTATCCACAAGGCATCCCCTCTTCAGCAGGCCTTGACTCATGTTCTGTCCTGTCAAGAGCCCCCTGTTTAGTGTCCTTCAGCCAGCCCTGCAGTCCTCTGACAGCTGCCCCGTTGGCCAAATTATCTCCTACCAGACTTGTATTCCTGTGCCCCCAGTCCATGCCCAAGTCAATGAAATTCAGCTTTTAGGTTCTCCCCCGTATGGTATAAGCCCATGCCCCTGGTCATTCAGCAATGAATGACCAATGAACCTGTGGGTGCCTGCCTTGTGTTGAGCCAAGCTTGCACTTAAGTACAAATACCAGTGACAGAAATGTTGGCACTTACGTGCATCGGCAGACAAGCCCTTGTTTTTTCAACCTGACCAACTGTACAGGTGAGGTTGCATGAAGCTACCATGGCGCACTGCTCTGAGCCTGTGGCCTCCTGTGCTATCCAGCAAAGATGGACTCTCTACTCCCACTGTGGGGTGAGGTCTAGTCCAGTGGATGCCATCAGAACTAATTTGTTCATTTCTCATTTCTGTGTCCCCAGTGTAAACGTATAGCACAGAATGGGACACACACATTTTTAACAAAGTTCCTCTGAAGAAAATAAACTTGTACCAATTCTCCCACTAAATCCTGTACTGTCTTTGCCACTTCATCTAAAAACAGGGATGAAAACAGTACCGATTTCAAGTGGCTGCTTCAAGAATGAACGTGAGTTAATAGAAACTACCATTTATACTTTAAAGGCTCTATGCATACATGTTTATAGGATTTTAGTTTTTCTCTATCTGACTTCTTACATATCCCAAGTTATTAACAAATCTTGGGGACCAAGCCAGATTTTTCTCACTGACTTTTTTTTTCTTTTTTCTTTTTTTATTCTACTGTTCTTTTCTTGATTTCATGTATACAGACTTTGTAACCACTCTGACTGGTGGAGAGGTAGGGACGACTGAGGTTCAGCAACTTAAGTTACTAATTCAAAAATAACTACTTGTCTATGGTATGTGAAAGGCAACAGATAGGTAAAACCTGACTGTTACAGGGCTCTGCTTACGTCAAAATTAACAGGGAGTCCTGGTCTGATGTTTCTGAAAGGTCATATCCATACAGGCACTGCTTCTGAAGTACTCTGAGAAGTTTGCCGCCATTGTGCACATAGTCCAGAAGCCTCCAGGTTTGGCGAGAACCACAGGCGCATCTGGCCAGAGGAGTCTCTCAGCTTCATGCTGGCCACTGGGAGCTTTCCCTTGGGATCACCAGTCTCCTGGCCTTTGGCAAGAGATTTGTTACCTTCCCCCTTTTCTGCTGCCAACTGAATTCTATGCTTATATTAATGTGATGTGGATTCCCCCCAACAAATTCATAGCCTGGTTCTATGCATCGAGCTTGAATTTAAAGAGAAAACTTCCTACTCAGTGGAAGTTAGACCTAGAATTCCCAAACCCAATAAAAAAATAATTTTGGCTCATTTTTATACAATTTAGAATTTACTCTCCTTTTACATTATTAATTTAGATAGTGTGAAACATTTTAGTCTATTAATAATTAATCACTTCTTTCACAACACTTAAGAGCAAACATTTTTGCCTTTTTATCATGAAAGTAGACACTTTCCTCATCGTCTCCTCCTCTGTGTTGATACCTTTACAAATTTTTGCCTTATTCATCTTTCTTTTTCCAATTTTAGAATGTTTAGCATCAGTAAATAGGAGTTTGGTGCCTTAGCTTTATGACTCTGTATTGTGCAGATTCTTATTTAATATCATGAAACAAGTTTCAAGTCACTCAGAAATTAAATATGTAGATTGAACTTAATATTGCTAGGTCTGTTATTCACCATTGATTCTATTTCCCCCCTATTGTCTAAAAGACTTGCTAAAGTATGTCCTTAATCCCAGCGCACTGATGATATTTTATCTAAGTTTCTTCATAATGACAAACATTTTTAAATTTTAAATTGGTCACTTAAGAGCTATATGACTCAAGGAGAATCAATCTAACAATGTCTTTGATTTTTCACCTGTTAAATGTGAATAATAATACACGAACTTCTGTAGGCCTTAAATGAGCGTGAGAATGTGTATGTGTGTGTGTTTGGGGTTTGTGTGTGCACATATTTACATACAGAAAGAGCACTGAGAATAAGGCTAGCACAAACAGTCCTATAGTAGCATTAGTTTTGTTTAATCTTGACCAAAACTGATCAGACCTTTCAATAAACATAAAATCAATTATTTTAAATGAGATATCCTCTCCTATTTTATATTTCATTGTTCTGCATCATTCTTTTTCTCATATATTTTTGCCCTCCTTTGAGGTTTTTCTTAATAATATTAGTAATAAGGGCCTCTCTGGTGACCTAGTGGTTAAGTCTCATCACACGGATGGCCTGGGTTTGATCCCTGGCCAGGGAGTTGACCCACAGGGCACAGCAGACCTCTCCTGTCTTACCTGCTGCTCACTTAGCAGTGTATTTCAGTGGATCTGTTTGTTCTGCTCTCCGCTCTGTCTCTGGTGAATCCTCTCACTCCCCATAACTCTTGACTCTACCCCAGTTCTATGCTAAAATATTGTCATTTCACATTTCAGTACATATTGAGACTTAACTGAGGCTCAACAGTGTCTCTCCTCTAATTAATCTACTTAAATTTTTCAAATAAAACATGTTCAGACCTGTCACTGAATCAGCATCAGAGTACTGACTTACTTCCCAAGTGCCCTCTGCTTTGCCTTCTGCGACAGATGCTTTTTCTCCCTTTCTCTCTGGTTGCTGGATCTGTTCAGCAGTGATGCTTTTCTTTGTTGCTTACTCACTGCCTATCTGTTGGCACTCCTGCATTTTCAGGGGACACCCAGAAGTCCTTGTACCAACAGCTACTTTCCAGACCTCCATGAAAACACTTTTTCTCCCTTGGTATTTCAGATTGTCAACTCATGGCTCCCTCAGCTTCCTGAAACAGGCAGGGCTCAGGGGGCCTGGAGTGATGCACAGATATAGCCATCCCCGCAGGCGCCTTCCTCCCCAAGGGGAGGGAGTCTGTTGCAGTATGAAGCTGGGCTCTTCACCCAGAGCTCTTGACTCATGACTCCTCAGGGTCCTTAGAAAGCTGTACCAGCTGTAGCAACCAAATGCAAGACATTTATTTGACAAACATGATTTATACCTTGGATCTCCAGTTTTAAGCTGAAACTTAAGAATGTGTAAAGTACAAAATCTTTCACTTAGTATTACTGACTTCTCAATTATGCACAGACCCAACATAGTGCCCAAGGTCAAATGTTCACTTATATTTGTTTGACTAAAATGAAGGCAAGTGTTCAATGGTTCCCCATTGCCATTTGGACAAATTTAAGTCTTTGCATTGTTACCTGTATTGCTAGCTTAGTGAAAGCAGTCTAAGATGCCTGGGAATCCATGCCCAAGGGGTCTCCAAAACCTTCTCCAGATTGGCCAACTGCCAATAAGAGAACCCCTCACCACCCCCAAAAGCTAATGCTTCAAGGAAAGTTCCAGACCCCAAATGTTACAGTTTCTGCACACAGCTTGTGATCTTGCCTTTGTACTTTGATGACCTTTTATTACCAGTTGAATTGTGTTCTTGTATTATTGCAATGTGGAATTCCCCAAATGAAATCAGGCTGTAATGTGACTGGCTCGAATGGTCAGTGAAACCTGTCCACCCAGATGGAAGTTAGCACATGAAGAGCCTAACTGCATATTATATGATGTGCTCCTAAGACCCTAACTGATGATGTAATCTTGACCCAGTTTTCCAGCCTATCACTTTTCTCTTTGTTGTCTAGTCTCCACCATGCTAAAACATCTCAATGAACCAAACATACCAAGTTCTTGTCTACCCAGGCACTTAACGGTGCCATCTGTTCTACACGGACACTGTATTCCAGCGCCTCTCCTCCTCTCCAGACAGTACTTCTCCTGGCTTGCCCCACCAAAAGCAGAGCTCTCACATATAGACCCATGCTCTTGTCCTGACCCAGTTGTTATCATTTTGCATCTAGTTAAATATCACATTTTCAACACAATTACTCTAGGAAGAGAGAAGGCAGGAAGGAAATTAAAGAAAGCAAAGCAAGAAAGAACAAAGGGAAGGAAGTGGGGAGGATGACAGAGACATATTTTTACTCTCAAAACAAAAAATGGATCCAAATTTATGTAAAAGTTTTAATTTTGATTATAGTCTATTGGTTGATAAGTATATAGACACTCAAACTGCATGGTTTGAAAGCATTTCAGCTATCAGCAAGTAAGTATCTATTTCTTCATTGGTTAGTTGAGAATAAGAAGCTTCTAATTTCGTGGTGAGCATTCAGTGTGAAAACATAAGCCCTTACAACAGTACCTGGAACTGTAGTATATTCTCAAAATATCAACTCTTATTATTACTTATTTACCTGAGGAGCAAAAAGAAAACAAGGACGTCCATTCTTCAACCACAGTGCATAATACTCTTCCTGAGGGCCAGGGGAGGCCAGAAAGGCAAGCACACCTTCAGGCACCACTGCCCGAGAGCTGGCCTTGATGCCTGGGAAACAAGTGTGATCAGAAAATCAGTGCCAGGTTTGTGTTGATTCTGACAAACATACATTTACTTGCATTACTATTTGTGAGGATGTGAATGCAGTTGGGAAACTGGAGAGAGCAATGTACTGGACAGTCTCAACCCTGCTTTCAGTAGATCCTGTTAAGAGTGTCAAACTGAACTTGGAAACTCCAGCCTACACGCCCACTAATCAATACATAAGGAAAGATAAAGCCCATGCAAAACTCATCAACATAAAAATACATGCAGTTAATCCAAAATTGGGCACTTGGCATACCAAAGTGAAAATCTTACCAGTCATAAAAATCAATGGAGTCTTGACACTAGAGCAAGAAACCTAGAGGATCTGGTTTAAAGTACATTTGAAGTTTGAAGAATCAGCAGAGTGACAGAAATTAAATTATTTCTAATAGAAGCTAAAAGCTTGGGAAGACCTGCTCTGAAGCAGCTCAAAGAACAAATTCTCTAAAACATTATCCTATAGACAAATGGCCTTCAGTCCTGAGAAGGTTAGGGTCTCCTCTTGTCTTTTAAACATCTACCAGTACTGCCATAGTGCCCAATTTACTACTCCTGTTTACTACTCCGCCCCCCATACTCCTGTTTTACAGAAGTTTCAGGAAGCCATGGCCTTATAGATGCCTTCTCACTTTGTAGGTAGCTCACCTCACTTGTCCTGCATCCCAATCACTCAGTGCTCTCGAGCTTTTCCTATGTGTTGAGCATTTTATTTAGTGTGTTGAAACTTTCAAATGTTTCAAACAAGTTTAAGTTTGTGTCTGTTCTCAAGGAGCTCCAGGTGAGCTGGAAATACAAGCTGAATATATCGTAACAGACAAATGATGTGGTGAGAATCAAATAAGAGCTCAAGAGCACAATACTAAATTATTAAGGAATACCGTTTGTGGAGTAATTTGGCCAACCAGAATTACAAAAATTTGAAGGAGAGTGAATATTTTTCATGCTGGGCTTGTAGCCAAAGATAGTTTATGGCTGGGCAAACTGACCCTGTCTTTAGCAAGTCTACTTATGACCACAGGGACATGTCTGTCTTATTCCTCTTTCTACCACACATGTAACCAGGGTGTCTGTTTTTTTGTATATAACTTTTGACTCTTGGTGAGCATTATGTTTGAACTAAGGGGAAATTTTTAGCACAGGTTTGGAGGCAGAAGGCCTCCAAAAAAGCACAAGTCATTTTGTGAGCCTAGGGCCAGTAGTTTCTCAATAAGCATCTCCAAAACATTCACATGTGTGGTGTCGGCTTGACAATAAATACCACTATGGCAGGACATGACATCAAGTTACAGGTGAGGAAAACGACAAAGACAAAACGGTGGTGATGTGTGGGAAGTGAGAGAGAGGTATTTTCCAAATAATTTTTGATTCAAGACATCAAAGAATATGAGCCTTGGATTGTTTCCGGAGATTTGAAGGACTTTGTGAGGAACCACAAAGTCACAGCAGTTTAGAGAAGCAGGAGGCAAAGGAGGGGGTTCAGAGATGCATCTGGAGAAACTAGCATGACTACCTCTCAGCCTGTATGCCCTCAGCTAGAGGACTTGAGAAGTTTGTTTGGAGGACAAAGGGCAAAACACAACCTTCCTCTCCATCTATCACAAGAGTGAAATTTTTTAATACCAGTCAAGGTCAGCCTGGGATAGGGGCTGCCGGTTTGCCACACATTAAGTCCAATTTTTGCTCACCTTCTTATTCTTAGCCTCTGTATCTTCATAATCTAGGCTTTATGTTTTGGGCCCTTTTCAAAGTACTTATTCTCAATGGTAGGTCTTCGGCACACAGGCTCTGACTCTCTTACTCCTGCCTAAGATATCACATACTAAGATAGCACATATCAACTCCTCCTCATCTGACACCCAACAAGTCGCTTATCAATATTTACACTTACCTGAACCCCTGCTACTATCTTTATTGCTTTCTATTCAGTGGACTGAGAACGTTTAGCTTCCAGATTGGGTTTTTCTTTTTTTGAAATTTAATTTTTTTTTAAATTTTTTAATTAATTTGCTTTTTACATCATTGTTAATTTTGTGCATTTTGGTTAAAGGAAGGCAGTAAGGCCCTCCCTGGTGGCTCAGCGGGTTAAAGCACAGCACTGAGAATCTAAAGCCGCTTCCGCATGAGTTCAATTCCCGCCAGCCCCAGAGGTGACCACATGGCGTGACAGACCTCTCCTGACCCGCCTGCGCTCCCCTCAGCAGTGTACTTTGACCATCTGCCTGTTCTGTTGCCCACTCTGTCTCTGGTGAAGCCTCTCACCGCCCCTGAGCCTCTGGCCTGTACCCCAGTTCTGTATGCACAAATAAATAAAATCTTTAAAAAAAAAAAAAAAAAAGGAAGGCAGTAAAAGAGGATGCTTTAAGTGAAGATTAGGGCAACCAAACTTATTGTGAAATGTTTGGAGGATACAGATAATTTAGCCATAGAAGAAACAGCCAGAATATTACTGTTTTTTAGGAATAAGATAATGAAGTTTTTAGTTAAACATTGGCAAGTAACTAAATGCAGGGAAAGAATGGATCCTATATATTTCAGCAGAGACTCATTAAGACATGTTGATAGGAGGTGAAGCTGTGAGGCAAGTGGATCAATTCTTTACACCAATTACTGAGGGAACAGAGGCATTATTAACAGAAATAGAAATGTCAGGAAGGGAAGAAAATATAGGAGTTGGGATACAAGTTCACTTAGGGGCACACTGAATTTATATTAACCATGTAAAAATATCCATCATTTGGAAACAAGAAACTAAATCTCAGAAGAGAAGATGGGACTCAAAATACCAATTGGCCTTCACCTGCCGAGAACTCATATCTTTGGCAGACAGAAAGTAGAGAGAGAAAAATAACCTGTGGAGGTGTCTTATATTTAAGAAAAGCAAAGAATAGGGACAATAGCTAAGTTAAACAATCAAGATAATAGTGTTAATTGGAAGCCTGAAGAAGAGAGATTTTTAAGAAGGCAAAATTAGTTTACTGTATAAACGCTGTTGGTAAGTCCAGTATTGGAAGAAAAGGTCATAGTACTGGTCATTACTAGTTATTAGACAAAATATTTTTCAACTGAGTAGAATGGCCAGAGTCTAAGTGCTGGGATAAGGATTGAAGGGATGGATGAGTAGAACAGAGATATAGGCTGATAACTGACTAAAAAATTCTGAAGGAGAAAGAAATGCAAAAGAGATACAATAATTATTTGGGTAGCTCAGTCAAGTGAAAAAAGGAGGTAGGTATCTGCCAGCAAAACTGTGGGCATAGCCAAAGTCTGATCTACATTCTGTCCAGAGAACAATCAATCACATTTCTTCCAACTCTTCTCTTAGATTCCTTCTTTTGGGTTCACAGTATCTCTCTCCTGCAGATGTCATCCTGTTCTGTCACCATTTTAAAATTCTTTATGTAGTCAAAAATACTATGATTAAGACTACTGTTTTACATTAAACAGTTAAAGGTTATTTCATAGCAAAAGCTACAATTCAGCACATAAGGATAAGAAAATTCTAGCAATGTGGTGGAGGCATCTGTGTGGTAACAAGTAGAGCATAACATGGACTTGAGGAAAAGGATACGTTAAAAAATATCCAATCTGGGAATATAAGTACTTGTCCCCATTTAAAAAAAAATTTTGATAAAAGTTGAATAAGAGTAAGAAATATGGACTATTTAGACAAGTTACATTTGGGATGAATCAACTAATGTATGACCTTCCAGGAATATGCCAGTGCATGTATTTAATTTCCAAGTTTGTACTTAAACATCAAATAAACACACTCTTAGCCCAACTAAAACACAATACACATATCAAGGAAAATTTTAGTGAGAAGGAGAGATTTCATAAAATGTCAGGTATTTTGATGTTGTCAAATTTTCCCTAGATTTCTTTTTCAAATACTTTAATCTTGTCTCTTTACATTTCCAAGATAATGATTTTGCTTTGCCTATACTCTATGAAGAAATAAAAAATGCATTCTCATCATGTTCATGATAATTAGTTAATTATTGTTATAAACAGAGAAATCCTGTCTTTTGAGCCAAATGCATTGAATTACATAATCACTTATTTAAATGAACAAAAATCACAAAAAAATATGTATTTACATATAAACATAACAATTTCCTGATGAATACATAAAATATTTTAGGGAAAATATCATTGAAGTTTAAAATTATTCACACCCCTAGAAGATTATATTTTCCTACATGAGATTATGTATTTATAAATACCCAACCATTTACTAGAGACTCAGCCATGTGACTTGTATTGGACAAAGGAACAGAAGCAGACCTGTGGAAGCATTTGACAGCAGGAGCTTCTATGCTATTCTGTGATGGCACATGATGCTTGTTTTATGTCTTTGAATGTGCTTTTGTCCTAGGCCTAAGAATAAGCCATGTGGACCAGAGCTCCGATGTGGCAAAATTATGCTTACTTTCAAAATTGTCAGCAAGGGGACATGTGGGCCAAAACAGACAGAAAAATACACATATTTCTCAGTCACTAAAATTTAGATTTTGATCTTAAAAAGACTGAGGGAAAATATTCTGCCATTCAATTTTAGTTTCAAGTATTTGGGGAAATAATAAAGTACTCTCCATCTCAATATTTATTCATTCAAGAAATGTTTAGGGAATATACACTTTGCAGAGAGTCATTCTTCTATGCTCTTGGGGTATGTAGATATATAAAACAGACACACAACCATAGGCTAACATCTATAAAATCTGAAAATACTTATCAGGATGGAAATAACCAATATTTATATAACCATGTTCAGTAAATTAAAAAAAATCATTAAAATACTATAATTATAGGGTCATGGGAATGGCATAGTTTTTTAACAATATAGACAAAAGTATAATAGAAAAGGACAAATTTATCAATTAAACTTCATTAGAATTAAGAGCTTGTATAACAAAAGGTACACATAAGAGAATAAAAAGGCAACTTACCCTAGAAGATAT